TCTAAATATATAGATTTTTAGAAGAGTTTACACCTTTGTTTATGGTACTGTTTAATGAAATGTTTATATTTTCCGTAATGTAATTTTAAATTTATTTTGTTTATAAAAATCGTATAGTATACTAGTTTCNTACAAGGAAAGTTAGTTTTTGGATATAGTAACTGAAATTTTTTCATAACATTAGTGAGTTCTTATAATATTCAAAGTTCTTAGTCCTTGTGTAGGAAATCCTATAGACTGTAGGCAAACTGAAAGACATTTCATTAAGTGTGCATTGCTATATATATATTTGTAGTGGACAGATGAATTATCAGCTATGTAGAATCACAGCAGTAAACAGCTAATATTTTACAATATTATTATAATATTATAACATATAAAATTAGGTAATTGATAAAATTTCTCGTAATACATTAATCATCGAAAGGAATAGTGATACGATGGAAACAATCGTAACTTCGTAAACGAGCGAAGAGATTTCAGACTTCCTCATGGGAAAACTTCCCGCGTTTTTCGAAAATTTTGTTACAGAACTTTCATTTTGAAATAAATTACTACATACTTTAATTTATGTTTAAGTATTTCGAAAATGTATTGTTTATATTTATTATTAAAAATTTTTTCATTCCGCTATTATTTTTTCTGCCTATTTGTTTATTTCTGTTTCAAATGTACAAATAGTATGTATACAAGATTTTACGTGTTAAACTAAATATTATAAATAAAAACAATTAAATGCCTTAATTAGCGAAACGTTATATCATAAGCACGAAACAATAGTAAACTTCATTTTCTTCTTTGTACAACAGTTTAATAACGTACAACCCGTACACAAAATATTTTATACGAATACAAAAAAATATTTCACCTAAAACAAGCCACTCAATTATGTTCTCTAACTTCCTCTGAGAAATGTTTCCGAAACTGGAAATGGCATCCACAAGTAACACACTAATTTTAAAAACCATGATCACTTGACTATAATATACAATTGGATAAATTAGATGCACATATACAAGAAATCATAGGTAATCTTGAAAAGAGAATTAAATATAATTTGTTTTCGTTTCACTATTGAAAATCACTCTTAAATTAAATAAGGAACATTTCTCGTACCATCATAATTAGAGAAGATAATTAGATGGATTATTTAATATAGTTTGTCGTGGATTAGTTAGTATAATCGGATCTTAGGTTATTCTATATGTGAAAGTATATAAAAAATAAAAAATTTTGAAAATCGAATTGAAAAATTTGTCGCGTACTTTGATCCGCTTACACGAGGTTGCTTGTATCGCGAGGCGCGTAGGATAAATACTGATCGTACATGTAATTCAATGGGAGCGACGCACCTATCCTCATGTGAAGCGGCTCTCTTACGTTTACACATATATAATTGTCAGAAAAAAGGCCGGAAAGACTTGAATAGAGATTTCTCAACACATTCCTGTACAGTAACAGCCAATATTTTTTAAATTTTAATTTCTTGAAATTTAAATTTCAAATGAAAAAATTTCATTCTGCACTGTAACGCTATCTATTCTGCATCACATTGTATATTTATTGTATATTTCTATTCATCTTTTAATATATGATTTTTCTCATTGTGTACATTAATGATGAATTACTAATAAATTTTTTTATTTTATTTATTTATGTGTTTAAGATTGTTTACTGCTATTTTGTGTGTTGACGTATGTAAAGAATGTGTACCTTAAGAGTTCCTCAGTTTTCTGTTTTTAGGGTTTTCGAGATTAATTTCTGAAGTTAATAAAGTTCTAACTGTTCAAAAAATTGAAACGCGTTCATCTCGGATTTGTAGAACTCGATGCACTAATAAAAATCCTATAAATCTTTCAAACTTTTTGGGTGATGAGGTTTGAATTTAGAAGGTGCCAGTTTTTTAAAAATCATAACTGGAGTATTGTAGCAATTGCCAACATGAAACACACACACAGCTGGTATTATGTACATAAAGGTTGAAAGTGTAATTAAAAATGTGTAACTCATCACATTGTTCTTTTTGAACTGTTATAAACAAGATTTATAATTTCAAAAAGTCATCTTAATATGTATCACGCAAATTTTATGCTGAAGCATTGATAATTGATAAAATTATAAAACTTTATTGTCGCGTTGTAGCATACTTAGGCTTTTTCCTCAAAATATCCTTTGCAAAAATGAGTTTGAGTAGGTAATTCGAATTAATCTATCGAAAAAGAAATACTAATTTCTCGAGGTTACACTTTTCTACAGAAAGGATTCACAAAGAAACTTGTACCGTGCTGTTTTTTATTCTGTTTTACTATGTTGTGAAAAATTGTGCACTGATGGAAAGTAGAAAAAAGCCATGAGAAATGTATGGTAACCCAAAAATGTTCTCAAATGAAATTGGACGAAAAATTATCCCTCTTGACAATGATATATCTCAATAAATAAAAAGAAAAATTAAACCCATTCAAGATGTTATAAGACACATTGAATTTGAATCATTTAGTAATGATAAAGAGGATCGTGTCATTGAACAAATTGATTATGAACATTTTAATTATCAAAATTTCAAGTTTTAAAAATTCCTCAGTGTTGAGGATAGTAGAAGATTCGTTTGTGTGTGTGTGTGTGTGTGTGTGTGGTAACAAAACAAATATCTTAAGTTGATAAGCAAAATGATGGTACAATTTGTAGTTCAGAAACACGTGTAAGACAAGTTTAGTCATCATTGCATTATATAGATTATTCATAGTTCTGCATAACATCAAGATCGCAGAATATTGATTTAATTTCGTCATTTATGTTTAACGTCACGATATTTATTATCTTTTCAGGTATCCCGAGTAGACTACGGACGCGTAAATTATGTCATATCGAATAGAAACATGAGTATCACAACGCTTCAAAGTTCCAGTATGTCTTACGCACTTTGTACGAATTGCTTGGCAATATGAATAACAACAGGCTTAGAAACATGACTACCGATCTACTTTGAAACGCGAAATTTAATCAGCCAAATTATAACGATTTAAATTGAACAATGATTTTCTGTTATTTCGGTAAATTCTTAATTCAATGGTTCATTCAAAATAAGTGGGACAAAGTAAACCTTCGCAATTTCTTTTGTAATCCCTTACAAGTAACAACGGTCGATCACGAATTTATCAAATATATTAGTATTTTTGGAAGTAGTTAACTGACGTACATTTTTCTTAAAAGCCTAGAAGTTTTTAAGTTAAATCAGAGATCCAATTCGAACACACCACTCCTAAGATGCAACTCACACTATGCGCTGTATTATCTCGAGTAAAGGAGAATGATTATCAATTGTGAAAATCGGTGCAAAGAATCTCTGCGTTCTTACGAGTAAAACTCTCGGGAGTGAAAAGTGAACAAATTCAAAATGTCCGAGGGCGAAGGGAAACGGGCTTCGCCGATACCAGTGGTGGCTCATATACAATGTTGCAACAGTGTAACTAATACACAGTGTCCTGCACTTCAAGTAACTCCACGAATGTTAAGATCACCGAGTCATGAAAGCGTCACGACCGACCTTTCTCTATTTAGTGTTTCCTCGATAGCAAGCGAATTACGGGGCGCCGGTAATAGGCTGGTTACCTTCAAATCTTACACCGATGTACATCTCACTGGCCGTGGTCCATCGCCGAAACCAGATTTTCGTCAAATTCAAACTACCAGGTGTGTTATTTCTCTGACTTTGAAACGTCTCTCAATGCAAATATATTTGTTGTGTTCCGTTCACAAATACTTTTCCACTTAAAATCTGAAGAAAAAAAAACGATTTTAAACGATTACTCGCTTCTTCTACTGTGTCAAACTTAGCTGTATACCAGTAGATAAAAAAAGAGACTAGATCTGAGTTTGGAGAAGGCTATTATGGTACAGTAAAGACTAATGCAGTACAGTAGAGACTTCCTTATCCAAACATTTATTTTTTCGATATTCTGGTATCCAAACGATCATTGTATTATCTAGATACTAGATAGATATTGAATGAAATTTTTAGATAATAGAATATTTCGGTATCAGGATATTACAAAAATAAACTTTCAGATAAGAAGAGAATCTCTACCGTCTATGATTTGGTGTGCTTCAGGCCAGCGGATATACCAGAAATTCTTTGGTTCGAAGAAGAAAATGAACTGATCCGTAGTTGCGGTTTGCTATCGTCCGCGCTTGGCATTCGCAAAAGCTTCAGTACGAGTGATGTCTCTCAGTTACCAAGTCCGGATGCTTTGGACACAGGCGGACTGCGAACAGCAGTCTCTGCCTTGACCTTAGACACTGCCCAACGAAGTACTTTGCTTTTGGAGCATACCAGACTCGATCATGCTTCAAGGTCTTGTAGCACATGGGTCGCGGTTGGTGAACCCGTAGCTATTACGTCGCAGCTTCCCAGTCCTCACGGAGGAGCTGCACAGGAACAACAACGTCAGCAAAATTTGTCTACTCAGTCAGCTGCATCCCAATCGGCGCCACAACCTCCGCCTGCGCCGCCCCTACCTTCGGTACCTTTTACAGGAGCAGACCTGGTCAGATCTGTGAATAAAAAGGTCCGTCAAAATTACATACGTCGAAGGTAAATACACAATTTTTATTCTGCTCTATTTACGGAATGTTTCGAAACTGTTAAACCTGATGCTAACACAAATTCTCCTTACCTAGTTTAAAAACATACTACTTTCCGCGCAAGGTGGTGCACCTAAAGATAGCAATTGATATCCTCTTCGGTCGTGATAATACAAAAAGTATTTTGTATACTATTTTTATGGTGTATCGAAAGACGAATATGCACTAAATAATATTTTTGTAGCAAGTTTCAAGGTTTGATTTTGACTTTGTAAGTCAAAGAATACTTTAAAATTATGTTAGTAACATTCCTTGGTGCTTTTAATGTCATCTATAATAGACAACAGGGAAGAAGATACACATTTACATACAAAAACGTTATTGATAATCTCACTGATAAAGCAGACAAATTTTGTGCAACGTATTCATCCTGTGATATAATTCAAATTGCATATAGAATATTGTTTATATTGTTGTATTCAATTGTAATTGAACAAGATATTTAGATGATTACAGTTAGGTGAGTCACCTTGTACAAAAGATGTTCGATCACGTCTAGTAGAATTTAGGGGGGCGGGGGATGATTCAGCTTACAAGCAAAATTGAGACGACAATCGAGATAATGAAATTACACTGAAGATATTGTTTCCAAACCATTATTAATTCAAGATCTTTATCAGTTATTAATACCATATATCAAAGACCAAAAATAATGGCGATTTAAAAAATTTTTGTGACAATAATTAGTAACATAAAAGCGTTAATTGCGCTTTTAATTACAATTAGCCCAAACAAATTTCTTTCATCAATAATGTTTATGAATAGACAAAAGAAGAATTTAAAAATACTGTAGTATTACTTTCGCTGTATTAACATCATTAAAAGATGAAACACATTTTTATCTAATTTCTGTTTGATACGAGAAATGATGAAAATCTTTATTTTGCATAAAGATCTTCAGCCTAGTTATGAGTAACGAAAACAAAATTTTGGTCACCTATTATTATTTATTGTTACGCAACGTTTTCTTTCATACTGATTTGTTATAGTAGGATCTTTCATAGGAACTGTTATAGTTCCTGAGGCATTTAGAACCATTTTCAGATCTTAATCGATAATCACTTGAAAACGAAGGAAACAGCATTTTCATTCATTTTAATTTTCCTTGTATTTTGGTTTATAGAATCATTCATCTTGCTATCTACCACACTTAACCGGAACACCTTGTATGCGTGGGATGTAAAAAGAGAGCATGCAATATCACTTTAATCTTATAACCAAATATATATACATAATGGTATAAATTATGGTATAGTACAAAAAAGATCGGTGTCAAATTTCTAGCTACATTATTAATTTAGGAAATGCAAGATTCAAGTTTCATTTACGAAAAGACCTGTATCTGTTTTAATATTATTCTACAATGCATTTGAGAAGAAGAATAACTTGCAAAATTTAAAATTCAGTGGCTTTCGACGTGTTAACGAAAAAAAAACAGACGAAATTCTGTCTATATAAAGCGCAGTGCTTGAAAATTCGTTCTGAATCGACATTAATATTTCTGTTTTCGGCGGATTTTGTTCCAATAACGGTGTGCAGGTTGATCAGGTAAGTACGCTGACAGTAGTATACTAAATTAATTTTCTTGCAATGGTATCGTTGAGCAGATATTATTCGAAGTTACTCTTTAGCGCGATTTCGAAGGTTCTGTTTACTCATATAATGGTCCGTTCATCCAGAGGTTAAGCAACGTGTAGCCATGGTATAACGAATGGCATAAAAATCGAGAATTATTTATCATTTCAATACTTGACTTCACAGATCACCTTGACGTTGGAGTTTCAATAGATCTTTTTTTTGTAATTTCATAAACCGTGAGTACATGCGAACCGTAATTCTGAGCAAGTAACGTAACAGACATAGGAAATTTAATGATTTTGTCACAATGTATTTTTTACGTAATGATTAGTTACCTCACAAATTATGGTAGTAGTAGAGTACTCTCTGTGGCTTAATCAATCAACGTTTGAAAGGAGATCTTCCATAGTTGTAGAATCACTTGATTTTTATCTTTTGTACTGCGATTAAGTAGAAAAATATTAAACGTACCCTAAACAGAAGAAATAGTTTCCGATCAATTAGTATTTACTTTTTATAGATTACGCTTCGTTGGTTGCAATTGAACACATTATAGTGCCATCATCGAATTACAGGGTATCTAAACGACGAGATAGAAAGCAAATTTTAATTCAGAGTTTAACTAGCTATTGGAGTTGAATTGGAACGTCGGGAACATAGAATTAATGTACACAGTTCTTGGTCAATGCTATCAATATGAGTAAAAATGATCTGGCAATATCGCACATATAATAATCGAATTGAATATTTCACGTAAAAAAGCAATTGTTTTTGTTCTACTCTTCAGTTTTTTAATTGTTCTGCTATTTCAAATTGCAGATAGTCATATTTGCCATAAATGCATAAAATCCACAGTCAAATCATAACATTACCCCTTTCAAGTAAAAAGATGTTTCCCTTGGACATATTTTTGTATCATTAAAAGCAATTAAAATATTCGCAGTGATCAAGTTATTTTGTTCAGTCTCATATACTCTCATTTAAAAAAGAAACATCGGTGATCTTAAAATTGCAAAATGTATGACCTTAGAAAAATGTTTAGGTTTATGCTATCAAAAACAAGTAAAATATTCAAAGTGATGACCCTGTATATATATATATACAAGATTCGTTTGGTGACAAAAATTGTTGTGCAGTGTTACGATGAGAAATTGTAACCAGGAGAAGTCGACTTCTGTATCGACAATGTGGTTTCCGGTCAACGGTGGTTGCTGACGAAAGAAGAATTGCCAAATCCATAAGAAACATGAACAAAGTCGGACCCCAATAACATGATCATTCATTAGCTTTGTATTAATTTGTAAATAAATAATTGAGTTTGTCAGTTCTTTCGGTTTATAAACAAAATGTGTTTACTGTCGCGGAGAACTAGATGCTTCCGTAGTGTCACTGAAAATCGTAACAGTATTTTTTTCAGGAAAATTAGTCATACTTATGCTAGTTTTGCAGCGAATCATGTTAAGCCTTGTCATTAGAGGGCATGCTGGTCGTTAAAATATGTAGCGATTTTTATAAACCTGCGAACGGAATTTCTCATTTGTTAGCCAAATGGGATCACCGGATAAAGTGGACATTTTCGTAACTTTCTTACGTGTAACATTGTTTGCTAGTTGTTCAAATGCGATGGATGATTTCGCTAAGTAAAATGTATATGCTAAGCATTTTCGAATTCCATGCGAAATGGCATCGCGTATCCGTTGGACGATGTTTGTTTGAGGTAGAGAAAGTATTATACAGTAATTTCTCCCTAATTCGCGTTCAGATTGCGCACAAAAATGAATAATTTGGGAAGAGGAGATACGATCATTCGAGTCTTGCACCTTGTTTTTATAGTTACCGATTGTCAACAACTATCGAGTCATTAAATATGAAATGTTCGATTTGAGACTCTGAAAGTTTGGTTCATTATATCTCGGGCAAGAAGTAATTATTATTAATCAAAATATGCGCCGAAACTATTAACACAACGTTGCCATTTTGACGGCAAAGGACGGTCAATATGAATTATCGGAAACCATCGGATATCAAACTTGATGCTTTAGGTAATCTCATACTTATTGACCTAATATGAAAGCGTGACGTAAGGCTCGAATAATCGTATCTCCTCTTCCCAAATTGTCCATTTTTGTGCGCAATCTGAGCGCGAATTAGGGAGAAAGTACTGTAATGAGACAGAAACGTGAAATATTGATGGAACGTTCTTATGATTTTCAGATTATTGACAACTTATCGCGCGTTGGAACGACTTTCGCAGAGCGAGTTCAATCTGGATCAATTAGAAGCTGCAGCAAGTGCAGCGCAAACTTCCAGCAGTACCCTGCTAGTTCCTGGTGCATCGACTATTACCGGAATCGCTCTATTGGGACGAAAAGAACGGAACCATGCTCTGACCATCAAAGACGTGGAAAGAGAACGTGGGAATCAATTGTCGAAATACGAAAGGAATATGATGATTTTCAATTGGCTGCACACTCTCGATGATACTGCTACTGTTGATAGTGTTGAATAAATTAAATCAAATATTTATTATTAAATCTTCAATCAAATAATTTATTGCGTAAAGGTGTGCAACCCTTTCGTTATGCTGGACAGTAACAAGATGTGTACAGTAAGTCACAAGCAACAGATGTAACTGTTATTAACTGAAATATTCAAAAGTCATGTACAGAACGTTAATTATTATATGGGATGACATATTATAATACATTTAAAACGAATTGAATTTCTTCGGTTTGTTGCTACGGTATACGAATGGCGAATATAATTGCAAGTAATTCGTCCAGCTTTTAAGGTCTTGAAACTGCTGATAAATTAGCGTTCTGTTTAAACGCGTTTGAATTGTATACATATATTTATACAACGAAATCTTCGAACAGATTCGGACACCGTCCAAAACAAACTTGCGAGTGCGTTTGATTAGCTTCTGATCGATGAGCCTCCGACTCTTCGAAAAAACACGTTGACTACCAAGCAAGTCTCAGGGGCTCGCACGTTCGACTATATTTAAATCTTTTTTACGAACTTCGGTGAAAGTTGTAATTTTATCACGAGCTTGCAAGCTTTTCTGTTCGAACCCATTGGAACTCTTCGTTGTGTACGTATATAAAGTTTCGTAGGAAAAGAAAGGCGAGCGGGATTCCAGCTGAAGTCCCGACTTCAACTACCACCAACTACCCTGCTCTCCAGGCTTTGTCTAACTGTTTAAGCGTCGCGTGTCATATCAAAAATCCGGAGGAGAAGTGCCAAGTAGCGCGAACGCGCTTCTTTCGTTTCATATCGAAAAGTGCCAAGATCGCGCTGTTTTACATGTTTATATAGCAATTACCGGGAACCGTGTGCGATATAGCATTTGCGAGTATTACGAGAACAAAACTGTCAGCCTAGTTCTTAAGGTTCTGCAGAGAGGCGGTGAGCTTGGATTCCTTAACGTTATTTCATTCAGACGCGTTTGAACCTCGTTGTAAGTGACCTTGACGCTGTTGCAAGCTGCTTGTAAGCTATTTGCAATACACAATGTTTGAAACAACAGTTGCATAATTAATGATCGCATCGTCTCTGAAGTATTTACATGCATGTTCAATTTTAAAGATCGACATTGCGGAAACTGGAAGAGCGATAGACACAGACGAGGAAAATCTTCCAACCATCGCATTCGAATATTAATGATATTGAGGAATTGTGGAACTTGCGAGAACAGTAATCAAATTCTCCTCTGTCTTGTTCAACTACTAAATTATTCACGAAAATTGAACAATGCTAAGATCTTGGTACTAAACTACATGGTTCAGAGTCTATCGAGTATAATTCTTTTAAATCGCTACTTGTGTAACGTGTTTATGATCTCATACATAAAATATAATGCTTTTTCATACTCGTAACTTTGGGTGGATAAAAGTGGATAAAAGATCTTCTCCATAAAAAGAACAATCTTGATGCGCGAACAATGTAGGAAAAAGAATTACACGATCGGCGTGTTCCCTTTAGGAGCATGTGACTTTTGCTTCACACATTGTACCACTAGTACAGCGAGTGCTTTATGGAAAATTTCAAGTCGTTAAGATAGGGCGAATTACTTTGTATTGTGGAATTACAGTAAAATACAGTATTATGTCGCTCTAAAAGCTATTGATAATAAATTTAAATCGCGGAACGCAAACTTACGTTCTACAAACATTTCGTACAATTCAGTCAAGAGATATAATTTCTGTTTTCTTTTTTTAGAACCGCTACAATGTAACGTGAGTGTAGTATGGTTACGTAATTTTTGTAAAATAAATCTTGAAGGAGTTAAGTTAGACGATGAGAAGTTCGTTGTAAGTGAAAGATAATTTGACCTTCAATTTAGCATAATATTACATATTCTTACATTGACTCTAAGTAATTTTATTCCGTAGTTTTTTATTTGTTACCAGTTATAATTAATTATAATTATTCACATAGATGTAACGATGAACTATAATTGATTATAACTTTTCTTACTTATAATACGTAGCGTAAGAACAGGATGCATAGCAAAAGTGTATTTGACTCTATTTTGTGCATCCTAATGCACAAGGTGATTGTATACTCATCATAGCGCGGTACAGTCCGACTCTTATTGGACTGCTGGTCGATTTTCCATATGGAATAAGCCGCTGCTTGTTAATAACTAACTATTACAAAGCTCGTTGCCATTTGTGTAATTTAGATGTGGTTTAACGTTAATAGATAGTCGATTTGTAATAACATACAAAATTTAATATAATAATTACATACACACAAGCAATACCAGCCTTCTAGAATGTGTTACAACGTGTTTTCTGTGATGTGTGATCATGGTCTCTAACTAAACGAAGTATGGTGTGGAATGTGAGATATGTTTTTAACATGGATATTCATATTTTCCTATTAATATATTGTATTTGATGATAGGGCATGGAGGTCGTAAAATGTTTAACGATTATATTTTTCTGTGGCTATGATTCTATGTACTGCATAGAGTATCGGGAAAAGAAAGATTCTTCAGTTCTCTTCCAACGTCATCACCTAGGATTTTTAAAATTGATTTGATAATGGGTGCTGTATCGTAATAGCGCAGGAGCTAATATCTAAGAAACATGCAGGTTTTACTGACCAATATGTAACTTTAACCTGTGACGTTTAAAACGGTGCCGATTTGATACTTTTCCTTACATGGTCATTGATGGTACACTATGGTTACAGTTAGTATAATATGAAATTGCAAACATATGGAGTCTGTCCTAACGATCCTAAAATGTGTAATCAGGATAGGCTCTCGAAACTGAAAATGATTTTAATAAAACTTTGTCGGATTGCAGACCAAATTGCACTATATATAAACAAATTTTTTCTCATGAACTTACAAATGAAGTCAACTAAAATATGTTTGTCTGTTTCTGCCTGTTTGTCTATTGTTTGCTAACTACAGTAGTTTCTCCCTAAAATGTTCGGAGCTCGGAACTGAAAACGGTAAAAATCTCAGCGAATTCTTCGAGCCTCTAGACACCTCGCGAGAGGGAGACAGAGAAAAAGAGATAGAACGAAACTCTCGGGGTAGTCGGCAAGCTTAAACACGCGGAAAGCCCGTATTTGACCTTGACGGAGTTGATCGTCACGCTGCAGTTGTGCGAACGGACATTAGACAAACCAAGCATGCCGGTGTACATTACTATGAATACATTGTAATGCTAGAATAAAGACAATGACTTAACTTTTTTATTTCTAATTTTGTATACATGAAAATTTCTTTAATATATTGGCCAGATTATTCCAATTAAAATGAGACCAAACACGACATGCTTTAGATCATATTTATTCATTATACGAAGCAAGGAACTTATTTTATTTCATTACACAAATTATAATTATAACAAAAAAAGCAATAGTAAGATATTAAAAGCAACGTCAAAGAAGATATGCATGTCGTTTAAAAGAAAATATCAGTGGAGTTATGCTATTTGGGCCTACGTTCGACTACAATTTCGAGGCGACATAGTGACTTCTCCCAGAGTGTTGCCCATTCTTCGACCTGGTGGCTCGCAGCTGCCGATATCTCTTGAGAAAGAGAAAGAAAGAAAGAAAGAAAGAAAGAGAGAAAGGAGAGAGAGAGAGAACGTAATTCGGGTCGAACGAAACTACCTGGAAATGCAGCAGCCAGCATGCCGGTGTACAGTACTATGAATACATTGTAATGCTAGAATAAAGACAATGACTTAACTTTTTTATTTCTAATTTTGTATACATGAAATTTTTTTTAATATATTGGCCAGATTATTCCAATTAAAATGAGACCAAACACGACATGCTTTAGATCACATTTATTCATTATACGTAGCAAGTAACTTATTTTATTTCATTACACAAATTATAATTATAACAAAAAAAGCAATAGTAAGATATTAAAAGCAACGTCAAAGAAGATATGCATGTCGTTTAAAAGAAAATATCAGTGGAGTTATGCTATTTGGGCCTACGTTCGACTACAATTTCGAGGCGACATAGTGACTTCTCTCAGACTGTCGCCCATTCTTCGACCTGGTGGCTCGCAGCTGCTGATATCTCGTGAGAAAGAGAAAGAAAGAAAGAAAGAAAGAAAGAGAGAGTTTCGTTCGGGTCGAACGAAACTACCTGGAAATGCAGCAGCCAGCATGCCGATGTACATTACTATGAATACATTGTAATGCTAGATAGAATGACATAACTTTTTTATTTTTAATTTTTTATACATGAAAATTTTTTTAATATATTAGTCAGATTTTTTTCCAAACACGGCATGTTTTAGGCCATACTTATTCATTATACGTAGCAAGTAACTTATTTTATTTGCGAAGAAAGCATTAGAAAACTCGATTCTTAACATACAGTGAGTGTAGAAAGTATTGATCGTACAGCGATCAATTTCAACAAAAACATTATAGAATTTTGTTTATTACAAAAACGTGTTAACAAAAAAGATGTGTACATATTCTTTGAAATCTTCAATACAAATGTCATGAAAAAGAAATTGTTTATTTATATTCTTTATGAAACTATTAAAAAAACTCTTAAATATGGATGAAAATATACGCGTAACAAGTATTCGTACACTTCCAACTTTACAACCAACGTCTCTTAATATGTATATATATATACATAACAAAAATCAACTTATTTGTTATTCTAGTATTTAGTTGGATTTTCTTTAGATTGTATAATCGCTATAAGCCTTCGTGACATTGACTTTACTAACTTTCTGGTAATTGTATTAGTAATGTTATTCCATTCTTACAGTAGTGCATTTTCTAAATCTTTTTTTGAAGATATATGTTGATTTCGAATTTTTTCTTCGAAATGACTCCATAAGTGCTCTATGATGTTTATGTTTGGAGACTGTGGAGGGATTTTTAACTGGTGTGGTACATTATACAGGATCCATTGTCTTGTATTATAAGCATTATGCTTTGGATCATTGTCTTGTAAAAAGATATAGTTGTCTTGTAGTTGCATTTTATTTGCACTAGCTTGGATATGTTTTTTTTTAAATATCAATGTATAATTTATGGTCCATGATACCATCGAGAAAATGGAGGAATCCAACTTCATTCGCACTCATACAGCCCCAAATTGTGACGACCGATCCTCCACCGTGCTTTACAGCTGCACGCAAGTTTTCTTTTTCATGCTCGGTATTTTTCTTTTTTCCTCCATACCGTACATCGTCCATAATATGTTAAAAATATATCTTATATATATTAAATTGAATATGTTAAATTTACTTTCATCAGTAAATATTACACGGTTCCAATACTCCATTGGAACGTTTACATATTCCTTTGCGAATTGCAGTCGTTTCTTTCTATTAGTTTCGTTTACAAAATATTTCTTACGAGCTATTCTGCCATAATATCCTCTATCCCGTACGAAATTACGCACTTTACTGCTGCAGACACTGATACTAAAGGCACTTTCAAGTTCAGCTGCAATTTTTACAGCATTAATCTTTGGATTTTGTTTTATTTGACAAATTATCCATCGGCCGGTGTATTCATTTATTACTCGTTTACGTCCGCAACTTGCTTTATTCCTTAAATTGTATGCCTTGAATTGTAGACTTCGGTCTATTCACAATTTCCGAAATCTCTTGCAATGTTTTGCACTTATTATGCAGACTTATAATAATTTTTCTTTCACTTTCAGTCGTTTCCTTTCCTTTTCGTCGCATTTTAGGACTACTAACGTTACCTATATTAAATATAGGACGCTATCTGCTCTGACAAAAAAGGTCTCTAGATATATTAATGATATTTATGTTGAGACATTAAACGGATTACCAGATAATCATCATGTATACTGTAACAGAAAGCGTCACGGAACAGGAACTGTACGAATACTTATTATGCATACATTTTCATCCATATTTAAGAGTTTTGTTAATAGTTTCATAAAGAATATAAATAAACAATTTCTATTTCATGACATTTGTATTGAAGATTTCGAAGAATATGTACACATCTTTTTTGTTAACACGTTTTTGTAATAAACAAAGTTCTATAATGTTTTTGTTGAAATTGATTGCCGTACGAATACTTTCTGCACCCATTGTATGAAACATTAAAGACAACGTCACAGAAGGTATGTATATCGTTCGAAAAAAAATATCAGCAAAATTTTGCTCAGTTAGGATAATGGTAGGAAAAGGTATGGCTCGGTTCGACGACAGTCTGAGGACGAGCCTACCTGTTTAACGGAGAATGCGAAGGATCAACTTTCTCCCATCAACCCTGGAGGAAAACGAGGGAAAACGACATTGTTTAGGTACGATGTCCTTGAAACTCAGTGTCGATAGTGCAACGGATGGTCTGCAGATGTGGCAACAAAGGACAAAGGCACGAACCGAAGCCACGTTTTCCTGCGAGGACAAGAGTCGACTCGAAACTGTTGTTCGAATTGTTGTTACGGCGTAACAATGGCAATATTCATAAGGCATTGAAACAATTACCAAAGTAAAAGTTAATTTGCCTCGATGGCTTTATTCAGCACATCGTGTTTGATTTTATTTCAATCAGAAATATTTATCTAAGCTATATCATGTTTAATCTCATTTTATTCGGAAAACTATCAGCAATATGTTAAAAAAATCAGTTTTAGAATGTTAAAATTAAAAAAAGTTATGTCTGTATTACGAGTTGTCTTCCGGGAATTCGAATTAAAGAAACGCGTTGCGTGCCTCCGTCGAACCTCAATCTATAGCACAAGTACAGTTCCCAGCAAAAAAAAGCCAGGAATACTGATTTTATTTTTGGACATTTGACCACAGCAAGTTTTTGGATTGCTGTAATCCTGTATTCCTATAAATCCTAACGTAAGCTGCCATACTTAATTTTTTTCATTCATACCAGTTGTGTTATGAAAAATGTATTCCTCTTATAAAAATGTCAAACAGTCCCGAGTATTACAAAAACAATCGCTTCGTTGAAAATGTGAATCTGAACAAACTAAAGAATATCTTAGAGTGTTTACAAACCGATGACACATTCCTGCATTATCTCAACTACGAAAGTTTTCATAACGGTTCGGGAACGGAGGGATAAGGTGAATCATTACTAACGTTTAACTGTCCTGTACTTCCCTTTGCTCTTCCTTGCACAGGTAGCGCGATTATATTGGTTATTGCTGCAATCGTACCCTTGTAGTACATTGAAGCAGCTATAACTTTGGGCAGCCCTGTCATAAATCAGATTCTCCCGTCTTAAATTTTAAATAGTAGCAGTATTGAAAGACCAATTCTACTTATCCTAACGGATCAGCCTGCCGTACCAAGTACAATAGTGGGAACAATGATTCAAGCGATCGAGGCACATGAACAGTTTATTATTAGTTGTTTCATCGGATCCACCGTTCAGAAATGGGTTGTTAGCCAGGTGCAGCAGTGTACGTTTATGTATCCGGAGTTATAACCGAATACAAATTCGATACTTTTTTGTGTTACTGTTAGAAGTTTTCATATTTCAATAATTTTGTCGTGAGATTTTTTTACTGAAAATCGATCGAATTGAAAAACAATACGTATCTTTGATTAGTTTTATTACACTCGAGGTTGATAGGGAAAGCTTGAAGGAATAGTTTTTTGATGCGGCATTTTTACCTTGAAGTCTGGTAAGGGATGCAGGGGACTGGGGATTAGCCACCAATATTTTCCCGTTTCGTAAAAGGTTTTGTAGCGCAGGTAGCGAATGACGCGATGATGAACGTTTGCAAGAAGCTCTTGAATCGGAAAATGCGGAAAATAGGACCCTGTGAGAGTCCAGGAATTACTGTATGTATAAATGAACTTTTAAGCGAATTGTTATAAGATGTTACTGCGTGCAGCTACACTTTAACAATTAGTTGAATACCGTTGTTTCTTCTGTGTTTCATCTCTCACTTCTATAATGATAATATACAACTAAGGATAATATACACAGAGGATCAATAACCCTAATGAATCCTCAAAGAAGTCGGAATTAACAATGCTACTGTAAATACAGGTGTTTCGTAGGAATCCTGCACACCAACAACGCGTTTATACATTTTCTTACGCAGTTATATTTGCTGAATGCTTCGTAGCGATAAGAATAATTTAAATAAAGTTAAAATAGCACACGTGGTTGTAACAGTGTTATGTCAAGGTACATGCATACCACAAAATAGCACAAAATCTGACAATTTGAAGGTAAAAAAAATGTGTTATTTACGAAAATGTTAAAAAAGTTCTCCTGTATATATTTTATGCAAAGAAAGTTGTACTTCAGGAAATAGTTTCTCAGGTATGTAATCGTTGCCATATGTAAGCAAGCCTTCTTACTATCTTGTATGTGGATTGTCCTTTGAAAATTTACCGATAATATTGAATACATACTACTATTGCAATCGATAAAAAAATTGTAATAATTAGTCATTTTCATTTTTAAATATTATAGCCTATCGCGTTTAAGCTCAACAAATACCTGCTGACTTAGTGGTATTTTTCTGTTATTGTACTATGTGTGTACACACAGTATTCACAAACTTTAAAAATTCAAATTTTCCGCCATTAAGCGGATATCGTTTTGAGACCTACGTATGATTCACGTAGTACTGACAAAAACATCGTGCTGTCTCCGTTTCGCTTCCTTTTCACGACGAGCTAACCAAAATGCAGAAGGTGAGTTTTCTGCGTTAAAACTTATTCCAGTAACTGTCTTTTAAAAAATAATTTTACAACTTAAAAATGATGTGTGATCAATCATATTACAGAAACAAAAGGAACCGATCCAGTCCGTGCAGGTCTTCGGACGCAAAGTAAGTTAAGCTGCCAAATAATAAGTAAGGTTATGTTTGCGCGTGTTTCATTAATCGAGCACGTTTATATTTACAGAAAAGCGCAACTGCAGTTGCGTATTGCAAACGAGGACGCGGAAATCTCCGTGTAAATGGACGTCCTTTGGAATTAGTTGAACCGCGTGTACTTCAATATAAACTGCAGGAACCCATTTTACTGTTGGGCAAAGTAAGTAATAATACTTTCACCTCCTACATGCTTGGAGTTACTTTCAATTTTGCTTTAAATTCAAGAAAATTAGTTGTCAATCTTTCTATGATGCTTTCTTATTCCGAACATGATTGTTTTTGATTAAACAAAAGATTTCTGAGAAATTATATTACACTTTGTACATCAAATATATGTTTGCACATAAAACAGTCAGTATTGAAAAGATTCTATTTTTGTAGGAAAAATTTGCAGGAGTTGACATTAGGGTCAGAGTAAATGGCGGTGGACACGTTGCACAAATTTATGCTATTCGGCAAGCTATTTCCAAAGCTTTGGTTGCATATTATCAAAAATGTGAGTACACTTCTGAAAGTATTAACGACAATACATATGTGTTTAATAATTTAAGTTTTACTTCTAGATGTTGACGAAGCAAGTAAAAAGGAAGTAAAGGATATCCTGATTCAATATGACAGAACTCTTCTGGTAGCTGATCCAAGGCGGTGCGAACCGAAGAAGTTTGGTGGTCCAGGTGCCAGGGCACGGTACCAGAAATCTTACCGTTAATTTCACATTGTACTTTATTCATATTATTGAATAAAAAATTAAAAAACCGATTCTTTGAACGATACTTGATTTTCTTGACATTCGCGCGCTGCATTGAACCTTCCTCTTTCGAATGATACATACCAATAAATATCAAAAAAGATGCTGATTTGAAATAGTTAAGTGTCACTCTGTAAACCCATACCGTTTTGATATTCAAATTCATGATATCGATAATATAGAGTAAAAAATTTGACAAGTTCAGTTATACTGGTGTTTATAAAGTGACGCCTAAGTAGAAGGATTCCACAACGTGGAATTGGAGGTAGTTGCAAGCTTATGTTGTAATATAGATTTCCAATAGATTGTGAACCCCGGAAACTAAATTATACTTGATTATATTTTGTTGCGTGTGCGGGAATCCGAAATTCGGGACAGGTCGGAAAGAGTCGGGTGGGATCGAGCGGGATTTTGACTTGGATATTTCAAATCTGTGTGAAGCTGAAACAACGATGCACAGCAGCGATATCGCGAACCAATGCAGAAGAAGTATGAGCAACACAATCAAATTCTTACACATTATTAATGAACATTTATGATTATAAAATATCAATATCACTTTGTGACAGAACATACAACGCGTTTTCAATTCTTGCGACGCTAACACAACCGTTGGTCATTTCGTCTCGCAACTCTAAGGAAAATCGCGATTGCCTACGCTACGAAGGGTAACGAACGTAACTACTGCAACGCGATTTTCTCACAATGATAACTTTAAAATTAATTCGTAGACAAGTCGCGATATTCGGTCTCGCAACGCTATAATGCAAATCGGAGCTGATTGTTATCCATAGCTGCAGCTGCAACATGGACGACTGAAAAATCTAATGAAGCTATTGCAACGCGATTATTTTGTCGCAACGCTAATTCAACGAACAGAAATCCTAAAGATCACTTCAATTTCCAAAAAGAACAAGTCTGCAAATTTTTGAAGATTTCTGTTCATAATTAACTATAGCAACGTGTGATCAATTCGCAACGCTATGGCAAACCGCGGATGTGTCCATCCGGGCTATTGCAGCAAGGGCGCCTGAAAAGTCGGAAGGTAAACTATTGCAACGCAATTGTGTCGTTACAACGCTAATACAACGAACAGAGATTCAGAAACAAGTGGACCTTAAAGATCTTCAAAATTTTCCAACTCATAACGCGATCGTATTTATTTACAACGCTATCTTTAAAGCTACCGTGCATGTCGAACAAAACGAAATGGAGATTATTTAATTCGCAACACTATACTTTAAACAATTAATTTCAATGCTAATGGTAATCGCGACAGCTTTATTCGCAACATTAATTTTGTGTTCTCCGTTCAAAATAAACTACTAATACTACTACTATTATTAATACTATAACTACTTTTACGACTGCAACGAGTACAGTGACCAATCAACAATATACAGGGTGTCTCAATATACAGTATACTCGCCTCTCATGGTCACTGTTTTTCGTTAATAACTCATTAACGGTGCCTCGGAGAAAACTTTTGTAAAGGAAGAAGTTGCTTCAAATGATCTGAGAGGAACTCGTCATTTCCGGATTGCGAGACATTTTTAGGACACCCTGTATATATTTATACATAATGTATATTCCTCCTTACGTTTTTCACTTTTGAGGCATTTTTTTTTATCTTTTTCTGTTCGAAAAAACGCATGCACGTGTAACAATTGTAAAAAGAAATCAAACTATTATAAACAAACGTCTGAATTCGAGCGTAGTCCTATAACCCAAGGCCTAAGGGCCTAAAGATATAACGGTAGTATAATCAAGTATAACGACCAATGGCCACGGGCTCGTATTAAGAAAAATGGGTGGGAACAAACATCGGCCAATCCGTGACCAATAGAAAGAGACAGGTCGACCACAATTAGAGTCTCTCTCTCTGTCTAAAAACTCGTATAGGCGTGAAATTTGACTATGTACGCACGACGGAGCATGCGCAGAGCGTCTACCGGAAGGACGCAGAGCTACAAATAGTTTTATATTGTTCACCCTGTAGACTCCCTACGTATATAACTGCATGCGCTACCACGAGGTTAAAGTATCTCGTTCATAAAAGTAAGAGTTGTAATTTATGGTATAGGAGGTATAGAACACGTGTGAATCTTTCTCTGTGTTAACCTTACTTCCATAAAGTATTCTCACATTTATTTATCCGCTTTTAACAATTTAACTATGATGAAAAAAGTCTTGGAACGTAAAAGGAAAGTAGAGTTAAATAAGGAAAATGTACCAGAAATAGAAACGTTGCCAGCGAAAAGAATGTCAGATGAACCGCTTTCGAAAAAGGTACGAAAATATTTTTATTTAGTATGAAACAAAATATGTATATTTGTAGGATATTTAATTGAACACAAGTTTAGTTTTAAAAAAGCGTGATTCGGTAAATATAAGAAAATTTGATTTTTTAGGTAAAATGGACTAACAAGCAACGGGTATTGGTTTTCGCTAGTAGAGGAATTAGTTACAGACATCGTCATCTTATGGATGATTTGAAAACTCTTATGCCTCATCATCGCTCTGAATCAAAAATGGAACGCACTAAAAATTTACAAGTTGTAAATGAAATATGTGAAATGAAAAATTGTAATAAAACAATATTGTTTGAAGGCAGAAGAAAAAGAGATCTCTACATGTGGTTTTCTAATATTTCTGATGGACCCAGTGCTAAATTTCTTGTAGAAAATAGTATGTATTATAATATATCAATGAACTATTATAGTATAATTAATTATGAACCAAGAATCTATTAAGAGTCTTTTCATAAAATAATAAACCATTTATAAGATTCTTAAAGACATAGTGAAATAAATAGTACTTTCAAATTTTTTTTGGGAAAGAAGTAGTAGCTTCTTGGTCGATAAAAACATTAACATAAAAATTTCATAATTTAGAGTATTATAAGCTTCATAACAAATAATATTTTTTTATTATAGTATCTACAATGGGAGAATTAAAAATGACTGGAAATTGTTTAAAAGGTTCTCGCCCTTTATTATCATTTGATGAAAATTTTACCAACAAAGCACATTACAGTCTCCTCAAAGAATTACTAATACAAATATTTGGTGTGCCCAACCATCAGCCTAAAAGTCAACCATTTTTCGACCATGTATATACATTTAGTATATTAGACAACAGGATATGGTTTAGAAATTTTCAAATTTTAACTGAAGATGGTGGTTTAGCTGAAATTGGTCCAAGATTTGTTTTAAATCCAATCAAAATATATAGTGGAAGCTTTGGAGGAGAAGCACTATGGGAAAATCCCACTTATATTTCACCAGCAAAGGTATCGTGTAACAATTATTTTATTATATAAGCATATTCACGATAGCGTATTTATTACAACTTCCATTTTACAGTTCCGTCAATCTATAATTAAAAAAGCTGCTGATAAATATGTAAATAAGGTGGAACAGAAGTTAGTTCAAGAAATCAGTAAGCCAAAAGAATCATATTCTTTAAATCCAACTGATGAGATATTTAAAGGTGACCTGTTAGAAACGGCAAAAGAATTAGAAGAAACGGAAGCAAAAATAATAGAAACTAATAAACCTAATAAAACTAAAAAACCAAAATTAAAAAATGATGTTACAAAACAACTCATAAAGAAAGTAACTGAAGCCAGTTTGAAAAAGAAAGCAGGGTTGAAAAAGAAAACAAGTTTGAAGAAAAAAACAAGTTTGGAAAAGAAAACAAGTTTGAAGAAGAAAACAAGCTTGAAGACAAAAACACGTTTGAAGAAGAAAACAAAAAAATAATGAAATAATTGTATTTACAATATTTTGTATATTATGCTGTAATAATAATGTTTTTATTAAATATATCATATACTGTAATTTTTATTTTCTACTACCAATACAATATGTAGATTGCATTAAGACAAAGCATATTAAAATTTCACATCTGGTGAATTTTTCATCTGTGGTATATACGTACATTGCGTACACAAAGAAATAGTATGAGGCGCGTGCGCATTTTATATGTGTATAACGGTACGCGTGGTGTGAAGAAACCGGGAAAGCATATACAGGTTGTTCCAAAAATGTCCCGTAATCCGAGAATGGGAGGTTCCTGAGGTAATTTGAAGTAAGTTTGTCCTTGGCGAAAATGCAACCCACGGCTTTGTTTACGAGTTATTAACGAAAAAGTGTGACCAATGAGAGGTGAGATTGCTGGCGCAAGGCGGCCAAGCCAATGAGCGGAACTGGGCTTCGTGCGCTCATTGGCTCGGCCCCCAAACGCTAGGCGAGCTCGCCTCTCATTGGTCAGTGTTTTTCGTTAATAATTCGTAAACCGTAAACCGGTTGCATTTTCGCTAAGGAAAAGGTTGCTTCAAGTGCTCCCAGGAGCTTCACATTTTCGGTTCGCGAGACAGTTTTGGGACACCCTGTATAAACGTGTCGATCACGTGTGATTCAGATTCTTGTGTATGTTAAGTAAGTACAACAATATTAAGCTATAAATATTGAAATTGTTTGTGATTCTATCAATTTTCAAGATTATATGAACAAAACTTTGTTTCTATATGAAAATAGTGAACTACATACATGATTATCTGTCGACCGACATATGTCCAGTGACACATGCTGCTCACGTTGCGTGGCATTGTACAAAAAATCTGTCAAAGAGTAATATAATGCGATTCATAATGTCTCTAAAATAGTTGAAAAATATATTGATTGTTGTCCTACTGTGATCTTTAATTTTGAACAATTCATTAAAATATTTGGAGGCGTGGCGTGTATAGCAAGTATATATGAGTATGCTTTCTTTACACACGTGTTGGATACACGTGCACATAGTGTAATCTGTGTATGCACAAGTATATGTGTGCGCGTGCAGGCGTGAATTGTCCCTATAAGAACAAATTCGACATGTGCATTTAAAATCGTATAATAACTGTTAACATCGAAGATAATTTTGTAAACTAAACCTATGTCAGAACGTTATATTGCATTACGCCTGTCAAATTGTGGTTATGTGACAAGTTCTTTTCTTACACTCCAATAAAATAACGGTATCTCGTGTCTTCGTCGGTCTTCGGAATTTTCCCGTTTGCAGTGGGTAATGTGGATAAATTTCAGGTTTTACATTAAAATACACCTAACTTTAGTCATGAAGTTTTCGATAGTGCATAAATATTTAAAAATTAAATGATAATCTGAAAGCAGGATTAATTTCAATACCTGTATACCAAGATTTGTGTCACATTACGATTGTTTCGAACATAACCTTAAAGAAACGCGTGGCCGCTTCATATCACTTTGACAAATTTTCTTCTTATTGTTTTTGTACATTTACAATTACAGGTTGATAATACAGGATAACCAATTGTGTAAACGCTTGAAGTTTTATCATGGAGACGGGATTTTTAAATTTTCATGATGAAGAACACTTTTCGGATTTTTCATTACCTTTGGAACAGGTAATGTGTTTATCATATTTTCATGAAAAGTAAATAGTTTGGTGTTCGCAGATAGAAAGGTTATGTTTTTGTTTATAAATGTAGTTACTTTTAATGTCAATGCTAATAAGCTTATAAAAATAAATGTTTGATATAGTAAGTATTATTATAGTCATTATTGATATTTACTAATTGAACAACTTCATTAGATACTGATAATTTAAACACTTTTATCACATTAATTTGAACAATCATGTTGCTGTCTCTTATACACATGTAGATGTGTATAAGAGACAGATTCTATATAGTTCAATTGAGATGTGTATAAGAGACAGATTCTATATAGTTCAATTGAGATGTGTATAAGAGACAGATTCTATATAGTTCAATTGAGATGTGTATAAGAGACAGATTCTATATAGTTCAATTGAGATGTGTATAAGAGACAGATTCTATATAGTTCAATTGAGATGTGTATAAGAGACAGATTCTATATAGTTCAATTGAGATGTGTATAAGAGACAGATTCTATATAGTTCAATTGAGATGTGTATAAGAGACAGATTCTATATAGTTCAATTGAGATGTGTATAAGAGACAGATTCTATATAGTTCAATTGAGATGTGTATAAGAGACAGATTCTATATAGTTCAATTGAGATGTGTATAAGAGACAGATTCTATATAGTTCAATTGAGATGTGTATAAGAGACAGATTCTATATAGTTCAATTGAGATGTGTATAAGAGACAGATTCTATATAGTTCAATTGAGATGTGTATAAGAGACAGATTCTATATAGTTCAATTGAGATGTGTATAAGAGACAGATTCTATATAGTTCAATTGAGATGTGTATAAGAGACAGATTCTATATAGTTCAATTGAGATGTGTATAAGAGACAGATTCTATATAGTTCAATTGAGATGTGTATAAGAGACAGATTCTATATAGTTCAATTGAGATGTGTATAAGAGACAGATTCTATATAGTTCAATTGAGATGTGTATAAGAGACAGATTCTATATAGTTCAATTGAGATGTGTATAAGAGACAGATTCTATATAGTTCAATTGAGATGTGTATAAGAGACAGATTCTATATAGTTCAATTGAGATGTGTATAAGAGACAGATTCTATATAGTTCAATTGAGATGTGTATAAGAGACAGATTCTATATAGTTCAATTGAGATGTGTATAAGAGACAGATTCTATATAGTTCAATTGAGATGTGTATAAGAGACAGTATTAATGCACATAGTTGAAAACGATTTTGACTATATGGAAACCCATCTTGATATTGTAAATTCTGATAGTATATGGAGTAATGAACATGAGTAAGTAAAGATTTTTTCCCCTTAGTTTACATTTCAAGAGTAAATAACATTAACAAATTGAATGTATTTTAGATGCACAGAAGATGTGGAGGAAGATATTCCTACTATATCTAAAATGGATAATATTAAAGAAGATTTTGCAAAAGTTCTCACAGATTGGCAAGAACATATTGGTTATTTGCAGGTCTCACTAATTTTTTTGGCTATTATTATGTACTATAATATTATGTACTGATTTCATAAATTTTCTTTTTTAGACCACCGACATTGATGAATATATGGATATCATAGGGTTAAATACGAATAATACTGATAGGAAAAGCATTTGCAGTTCAGAAAGCATATTTGAAGATGAACAGGCGATGCAGACTTTAGAACCCGAATGCTTTAAAGCAAAACAAGTGGACCTTACGAGAGAATATCTTCAGAATGATAAAGAAAAGCATGAACCAAGCAGTAGTAATAAAAATACAGGTTTATTAATATTGATATTATTATTTGACTTCCAAAATTGTTTCCTTTGTAATATAATTTTATATTTTCTAGAGAATTTAGTAGAACAGAATTCATATCACAAAATAGCTGATGCTATTAAAAGTTGTGATAAGCAAGAACATACACAAGATTATTTATGCCCTAAAAGCAGTCAAAGTAAGATAAAAAAGAATATACCTAAGTAT